TGAGCAAGGCTTTGTCTCAAAGTATGAGCTATCACAATGCTAACCCTAACTAGGAGGAGAGGAGTATGTATAGTCTAGGACCACGAAGGGGTAAGTGGGGGATACATGGGCCTCAGCCCGCAACTGGACACAACCAGCGACCGGGCGTCCGCTGGGCACCGGACGTCCGGTGGTTCCAGGGGGACCGGTCGTCCGCTAGCGTCGGACGTCCGCTGAAAGTGTTCTGTGGTCGGGACACCGGACGTTCGGAAGTCTCGAACCTCCGTTAATATTGCCGGACGTCCGGTGCGGGTCGGAAGTCCGCTCGCTGGGAGGTCTGTAGCTGGCGTAGGCTGGTCTTCAGGCGTTGGTCGTCCGCCGAGGGCCGGACGTCCACTCGCTGTGAGAGGCCGGTCGTTCGGTGCCGTCCGGACGTCCGCTCGCTGGAGCTTCTTCGGTAGTTCCTCTTCTTGTTACTTGCGCTTGGTGTCCTCGCTGTCTTGTCCAATGCTCCTAGCCGTTCCGTGGTCTTCCTCTTGGTTCCTGATCATGCATAGCACACACGTTTGACGTAGTAGCCATGTCTCACATGTAGAAAGTGAAGGTTCGGAGAGGAGCGAGTTCACCTTGTGTCCAATGGCGTATAGTCGAGGTCTCATCTTATGTACCCTTGGGTCATGGGGAGTGGTCGAAGTGGACATGGGTATGATCGTAGGATGCTCCGCATCACTAAAGGTCCCTGGTTACAGCACACCGGTACATTTTGGTGTCTTGATTTCCTTTGCGTATCCTCTTGATGAAGGAGGATTGGGTGAGATTATTGTTGCAACAACAAGAATTGAAACTATGCTGGGTGATACAACAATAGCTGTTCATCCAGAGGATAAAAGATATAAGCATCTGCATGGAAGATATGCAATTCACCCCTTCAATGGCAGAAAACTAAAAATAATCTGCGATGCTGTGTTGGTAGATCCCACTTTTGGCACTGGGGCTGTCAAGGTGTGAAATAATTTTTTTTTAGAAAAGGAGGATGACCCCCGGCCTCTGCATCTGGGCGATGCATACTGCCACTTTATTAATTATTCTCACAAGACCTTACAAAGTCATACAACAGTAAGACTAAAGCCGCCGTCTAAGCAACAAACTGTCGCTACACCTATCCAGTTGATGAAGGGGCGCAGATAGCCTGGGCCTAATACCAAACAGACATCGCAGCTAAGCCTAACATCTAAGACCTGAGACCCCAACCTAGCCACTTGCCGGGTCTGGGGCACACACTGGTTCGGCATGCTCTCAGAGGCCGCCGCCGCCAACTGCCACCGCTCCATCTTCAGAACTGTACTGATGCATCAACCTTGCTCGGTCAAGCTATCATCGACGCCACCACGGCGCCCAACGGCACCTCCTCCCTGCGCGCAAATAGCTGAGCACGTCGCGGTCGCCACTGATACACCTCAGCGCCATGCTGCCAAGTATCAGCAGCCGACACAGCTTGAAGTCCTTGGAAGATCTGTCGTGCGTAGCACCTGCCGACCAGGCATGACAAAGTGTAGCACCTGTCGGTCAGGCATGACAAAGCGTAGCAGCTGTCGGTCAGGCATGACTTGACATCTCCACCGAAGCTCCGTGCAAGACGAAGCCGCTCCACCTCCTGCCTCTGACTTCCACCGCTGCTCCACAAACGATGCTCCCAAGAGAGAAACGACACCGCAGTGTCGCCATCGTCCGATCTGGAACACCAGATCCTAGGGTTTCCCCCGGAGCAGCACGAGTGGGTCGACAGTAGTTACACGACGATGCCTCCATCAAGGTAACGTCAAGGACACCGCCATCGCTTGTCGTCGGCTCGGTTTTCACCGGCAACCATGTTTCCCCGACTCGTAGCCAGGACTAGATGACGGATCTGGAGATCCGACCACCCAGCCTCAGGCCGACCACCTCCGACGGAGGAGATGACCACCACCGCCATGTCCCGCCTCCATGGAGAAGGGCCGTCGGACTCCACCGCCGTCAGTAGCTGCACATGTAGCACAACCACCAATAGCACATCTCGAGCACCCCGGGGATGCCTCCCCGACCTGCCTCGACGCCGATCCAAGGCCGAGCGCAAGCAACAAGACGAATCCGGCGAGCAACTAGCAAAACCGCATGCACCACGGATGCCAGCCCGAAGGGGATCTCGCCCGACTCTGCCTAGCACAGGTGCCATCGCCCCCGCGTCATCCAGATCCGGCAGATCGACCACCGGCCGCCGTAACCATTACCAGCACGCAGCCCGCCTCGTGCAGCCCTCCACGCCCGCCACCGTGGCAGCCCAGCGTCGCCGCGCCCCGCACAACGTCGCGTTCCGGCCAGGGTAGATCGCCCCACGGCGATCCCGCCTTGCGGGAAGGAGAAAGCGCCCCGCCGCCGCCCAGGCCAGGTGGGCTTCGCCCGCCGGCACGCCCTGGCGGCGGCGAGGGGAGGGATGGGGAGAAGGTCGCGGTTCGGCGGCGGCTAGGGTTTCCTCCCCTGCCGCCCGTGGGAGCGCCAGAGGAGGTCGCGAGAGCAGGAGTCCCTTTTAAAATGAGAGGTACCTGCAGCGTCGTCCAAGACCTGGGCTGCCGAGTGTCTCAAGGTGTGAAATAATGCCGACTGACTTATATTTTTATCTCATTTTACCTAGTTGAAACTTGTGCATGCACTGACCCCTCTTAACCTGTGTTGTTGTTTGCTTTTTATGCAGATTACACCAGCCCATGACCCAAATGACTTTGAGGTTGGAAAGCGACATAACCTAGAGTTCATCAATATCTTCACAGACGATGGGAAAATAAACAGCAATGGAGGCACACAATTTGAAGGAATGCCAAAATTTACTGCTCGGGTTGCTGTCATAGAAGCATTGAAGGCAAAGGTAGTACTGGACTCATATCATTCACATCAAAATATAGGTGATCTAGTTTTCAAAGAAAGGGTTGTTGGGGGTACTGCAGTTGTTTAATAGAAATTTGTCGCATGTCTACAAATCCTCTATTCTTAAATAGTTGTAACCCACTACCTAATTTCACTACACATGCAACCCTTCCACATCAACAACAATGCATGTATGCCAGTCATCAACCTACCAGCTCACTACCTACTTGTCTTATGCATGCGTTCCTTCCGCTTCAACAAATAATGCATGTTTACCACAGCATCAGACTACCATCACATTATAATTAATCCTCACCGTTATCATGTCATCAGTCTAGCTATTTTCAAAAGTGTCACAGCGGCAACGCGCAGATTACCATCTAGTTTTCATAAGTATAAGAGGGGACAAAGTGAAATAACTTTAACTTTGTACTAATATTTTTTTTCTTGCATTTAATAGAAAGAGTACTCATAGTACTAGTTTTTTTTTTTGCGGGTGAGTACTAGTGTTATCCATAAGAATTCATAAATTACGTTATAAATGAAATGTGCACTTCTACTTTGGCTTGGCTGTCCTTTAAAACTTTGAGTGGTCTTGGTTTCTGTCTACCTAGCTGATTTTCTTGAACCTCAAGCCTGTCCAAGGTCATGCTTTTGTGGTTGGGTATCCATAGTTAGTCATGTCATTTCTTGGAAATATCTTGTATGGATGTGGAATCCAGGGATAAATATATTAACTTTACTTGGTCGTTTTTCAATTTAGTTTCTTTGTTATCATTTACAGTTTGTTTTCATTCGGATTTTGCTAAGTAATTCAGGAATAACAATGTTTTATTCTGCTTGACAATAGCTTGTACAAGGACACGAAAAAGAACGAAATGAGTTTGGGCATTTGTTCAAGAAGTAATGATGTAGTGAAACCCACGATGAAACCTCAATGGTTTGTTAATTGCAATACCATGGCAAAGGCAGGTGTTGATGCTGTAAGATCCAAAAAAATCGAGATTATTCCGCAGCAATATGAACAAGACTGGTACAGGTATATGTCTATCCTTTTTGCCTAGATGAGAAACATGCCACCTCTCGAAGATGCCATGCCAAAACAACAAAAGTGGAAGTAATATGATCAATCTATTATCGTTGTCCTTGCAGATGGCTTGAAAATATACGTGATTGGTGTGTCTCAAGGCAACTCTGGTGGGGCCATCGTGTACCTGCAAAGTATGTGACACTTGAAGATGATCAAGTGACCGATCTGGGTTCCAACAATGAACGTTGGATAGTTGCAAGAAATGAAAGTGATGCGAACCTTGAGGCAAAGCAAAAGTATCCGGGGAAGAAATTCCAGTTAAATCAAGATCCTGATGTGTTGGATACGTGGTTTTCATCTGGTCTATTCCCATTAACAGTACTTGGTTGGCCAGATGATACCGCTGATCTTAGGGCTTTCTACCCTGGCTCAGTACTCGAAACTGGACTTGATATTCTCTTTTTCTGGGTAGCCCGTATGGTTATGATGGGAATGCAACTAGGTGGCGATGTGCCGTTTGAAAAGGTAATGGCACACACACCCTGCCCATAACAGTAATACATAAGTCTCTGCACTCCCCCTTGACACGGTGAAACTGTGCTTAGGTAAAACTATAACTAAGAGTCCAAAACTGTCATTCTACCTTTAATCTTGGCAGTATGTGTAGATATATTTCTACAAACTAGAATCTCCACATGGGGCTACTTTGTATGTGTAATTTCTTCTCAAAATAACACACTGTTAGTTCCCCAGATATTTGTTGATGAATTGACGAACTTGATCATTTTGAGATATTCTCTGCCCCGCCATTTGTCTCTACAAGCCGCTCTAATTTCGTCCCGAATGAACTCTGTTGCTCTACTGAGTTGATCCTGTAATGTAATACTAAATGCATAAACTTGCAGACTTACCTTTCATTTCTGGCTGCAAGATATTTTTCGGTCTGCATTTGAAAATTACTTATCGAGCCAACCATATTGATCTACAGCCTATTTGAACTATACGAGTCAAGTGAGGCAATCTAGTTGAATGTATGCTTCAATTGTATATTGAGTAATGACCACGCCTTCTTTTGCACGTTTATTTGCATCCTATGATCCGTGATGCACATGGTCGGAAAATCTCCAAATCGCTTGGGAATGTCATTGATCCCCTTGACGTGATAAATGGTATAACACTTGAAGAACTCCTCAAACGTTTGGAAGAAGGAAATCTGGATCCAAATGAACTGGAAATTGCAAGAGAAGGGAAGAAGAAAGATTTTCCTGATGGAATTCCTGAATGTGGCACTAATGCCCTCCGCTTTGCACTGATTTCTTACACTTCTCAGGTTGTAGTCACACCCATTTGATTTTATGTTATATTGTGCTTCCAGTTCACATCTTTTAACATAATTTTCGTTTTGTTTTACAGTCTGATAAGATAAATCTGGATATCAAGAGAGTGGTGGGGTACAGACAATGGTGCAATAAATTGTGGAATGCCATTCGTTTTGCAATGGTCAAGCTTGGTGGACAGTACACTCCGCCGGCAACTGTTGTTGTGTCTCAGATGCCACCAATTTGTAAATGGATACTCTCAGTACTTAACAAGGCTATTGGGAAGACTGTCAGCTCATTAGAAGCATATAAATTCACAGATGCAACATCTGCTATATACTCATGGTGGCAGTACCAACTATGTGATGTATTCATAGAGGCCATAAAACCGTACCTTTTCAATGACTCTCAAGAGTTCGAATCAGCCAGAGCTGCCTGTAGAGATGCATTATGGATTTGCCAGGACACCGGCTTGCGCCTGCTTCACCCATTCATGCCCTATGTAAGAGAAGAGTTATGGCAGTGGCTTCCTCAGCCTAAATATTCTTGCAGGAAAGGTTCCATCATGTTATCAGAATACCCATCTGTTGTTAAGGTAAACACTCAAGATGATTGTAAGTAGATCCAGAGAACTTCACCTTTAGATACCTATATTTACCAGTGGGAAGACACTATTCTTTATCACAAGAATGGGCATATGATAATCTTGAAAATGGAATCGATATGGTCCTGGACACTCTGAACAAACTAAGATCCCGGAGGCCACCAACGAATACAAATGAAAGGTTGATCAACTTTCTGGACTTCCCTGTTTCTGTATTATGCAGGCTAACTTCTTGATTGCCTCTTGTTCAGTACATCTGGCTTGCCGAAACATAATATCCTATTGCCTCTTCTTTCATGTACAGGCGACCTACTTTTGCACTTTGTCGAAGCCAAGAGATTGCTGCCATTGTTCAATGCTATCAATATTTAGCCGTCACTCTTTCTTCTATCTCGTCCCTTAAGGTTTTCACGTTACACTTTCATGTGATTATTCTTTTTATATTAGGGAAGTGCCTGTTTTTTCTGCCATGCCATCTGAAATTAGTTTGTACTTTGTTCTTTGTAATTTATGCTGAAACCATAAGTCGAGCTATCCTGTAGTGGACTTGCAAGGTCATTGCATATATGGAAGGTTAAAGTTCCTTTGCGGATTAAAATTTTTATGTGGTTTGTTCACAAGCAAGTTATTCTCACAAAGGACAACCTACTTAAGAGGCGATGGGTAGGAAACTCGCGGTGTTGTTTTTGTGCTCAGGATGAGACAATACAACATTTATTTATTGAATGCCCACTTGCCAAGTTACTTTGGAGAACGATTCATATAGCCTTTAATATCAATGCTCCAGTAGATATTGCGTCTATGTTTGGGACGTGGTTGGCTGGGATTGAACAGATCATGGCAGCTCGTATTCGGATTGGAATATGCGCGCTATTATGGGCCATATGGAACTGCAGAAATGATATGATTTTTAACAGACAACACAACTTAACTTTTTTGCAGGTTATCTTCAGAGCTACAACTTGGATCCGTACATGGTCCTTACTCACTCCTATGGACTCCAGGGAGCCTTTGGTTACTGGGTGCAACCAATGGGAGATGGTGGCTCGGGGTATATTCAACCGGTTCGGATGGCGTTCGCATAATATGATAGGAGTCTAGAGAGCTTATCCTTATTTTTACCGTATCGGTTGTCTTTGCCAGCTTGTATTTTTCCAGTTTTTGTTTTTTGTTTTGCTCCGTTTGCGAGCTGTAAGACAATCATGACGATACTTTCTGGATTTTTAATAAGAGAGCCGCATGCATCATCATGATGCAGAGGCCGGGGTATGCCTCCATTTCCAAAAATCCTGTAGTGGACTTTAACCACTGATGTGATATTGAAAATTCTGCAGCTCCTGGCAGAGAGTGATCAAACTCCACCTGATTGCGCAACTGCTGTCGCGAACAAACATCTGAGCGTGTACCTCCAGCTTTAAGGAGCTCTAAATGCGGAAGCTGAGCGTGAAAAGCTACAGAAAAAGAGAGACGAAATTCAGAAGTAAGTCTACATTGTCTCTTCCAGCTGGTTTGAACAGTGAAGATATATGCCTAGGTTTCTTTTTTGTACTTGATTGTATCAGTACGTAGCATGGTTTGCTGTGGATGTGTGCAGGCTACGGCATGCCCTGTCACAGAAGATGGATGCTTCGGGCTACAGAGAGAAGACTCCTCAGGGCGTCCAAGAGGAGGAGATGAGGAAAACTGTCTGCCTTGTTGGAGCAACTGGAGGTCATCGGTGAAGCTGAAAAGAAGCTAGACGCGAAAACTGTCGATGCTTGATGAGCATCTCTGTTATGATTTGTGATGTGGCATTTTTGTATATACGTTGATGTCGCATTTGTCGCTGGCAATGCTCAGATTTGCAGAAAGTCAAGTGGAAGGTTGGGCTTGATTGCAGTTCCACCACATTTTGCAGCGTGAAGAATATTACTTACAACTCATAGATTTGCATGTGTATATGCAACGGATCAGTTATGAGCATTTTTCTTTTTAAATATGCATTGCCTCTTATAACCACCGGCAGACATGCACCGTTTCCCTTTGCGAATATCTTGTGTGCTTTGTTATTTGTACCGAGCACGGACTTGAATGAATTTAAATAATTTAAGTTATTTATGCATGGTATGTATGTTTGTACTCCAACTTATGTGTGGAATAGCAAAGTTAAAAAGGAAGCAAAATTAAGAAACCATTTGAACACGGGTGCATGTCATAGATGGTGTTTTAGCTTGGTGCTCGTAGATTATGAAGAACGTGTGCTTATCTATGAGTGTAGCGAGTTTTTGCACAAAAAGTCCATCAGTGTGGTGCATGACCGTTCCGGTGGACAACCGCCATAGCCTTACCTTGCTTCCACCCAGATACTGTACCTCCCGCCTCGAGAGAGTAAAATTCTATCTCCAGAACCATATATACATTCCACCGGGCCAAAAACTTTGGCTCGAAGTTCATAGAAAATGTTGCGTGCAACTTTGGCGTGAAGTTCATGGAAAACCAGCGTTCAATACAAGGTTCCCACCTTCACGCATGATATTATGGAAAGTAATTCATGTCTCAGGCCAAAGCTTGGTCAGCAAGAGTTATCCACATAGATGGTATTTATTTACAAAAGTTAATACGTACTAGCAAAATCGGAGAAAACATTTAACGCATTCAAACCTATCTGAAGAAAGCATTTAATGCATTAAAACCCGGATCCTCTATATAAACCCATACCACCAAGGCTCAGGAGTAAACATTGCAACAACACCACCTAGATCCAGATTAGAAAGAAGCTCCAGCATCTCCTCATGGCAATCCTCGGCAAGAGTACTAGTGTTGTGTGCCTCATAGCCCTAGTGCTCATGGCCACCGTTCTCTCCTCACGTGCCTTCTACCATGGTTCGTTTTTCTTCATCAATGATATTATTTCTAATCTGAAAATCCACTTTTACATAGTGTACATTCTGCGGTCATGAGACACATGGATATTAGTATCACCGCATCCACTATTTCTAGATCTATCAAGTACTTGATGCAATTTTTGCAATTAAACTACGCTAATGCATCTGATTCTCAGGATGCGACATCGGTCCATTTCCCGGGGAAAAATGTCCCGAGCTATGTGAAAAAGCATGCGGTAAGCCCGGCGCTTGCTCATCAGACGGTCCCGAGTCTTACTGTTGCTGTGAACCAGTACGCCAAGATGGATCCATGAGGCCTCAGGAGGTTACTGAAATGATACAAACATAGTGTCATGGATCACCAGAACCATGTCGAATAAATGTGCTAGGTCTTGTTGAACTTGTATTGAATTTGATAGTATCGTGTGTTCCTCGGTTGGATCGAATGAACTTGTATATATTCCCCATTTAATAAACTTTGTTTTTGTTGGCCCCATTTGCATATGGTACACGATCCTGAGCCGTGTGTGATACATGTAACAAAAAAATATACTCGCTCCATTCTTTAATATAAGATATATTTTTTGGACGCGGTAACCAAGAAACATAATTGAGGAGCATTTTGGACGAAAATATCCTAAACAATTATGTAGTTTGCAGCTTAATTAGCGGCAACTAAATAACAAACGACCTAATAAAAGGCGACTAAATCTCGCTACACCAGAATAAAATCAATCGGTGGGATAGGAGAGAGGGCGAAATGTAAGTGCATACAATTAGGGAGAGAGATTTTTTTTTATCTAAGGCAGGTAATGGATGGTGGAAGGGTACGCACGGAAAACTAATACACCTTATATCAAGGAACAGAGGGAGTATTTGCTAAACAACATGTCTATGTCTATCTTTATCTCTTTTCTCTATTTCTACTACTTATAGAAGCGCGAGTTTTGTGAATCCTACAAATTCTTCCCAGTCACATTGTATCACATCAAAACACCATTGTTAGAAATTAAATAGTTTCATTAGGAATTGAATGCCTTAATTCGGAAACAAATATCTCTACTGCTTATTACTTATAAAGCGCAAGTTGTGTGAATCCTACAAATCCTCTCTACTCACAAATAAACAACGGGGCACCAGATCCACCGAATGATGTATCACATCAAAACACCATTGTTAGGAATTTAATAATTCCATTAGGAATTGAATGCCTAAATTAAGAAACAAATAAATTAGGAATTGAACGCCACAATTTGGAAACACCATTATTAGAAATAAAAAAATCAATTATAAATTTTGCCTTAATTAGGAAAGAAATAATTTGGAAAATTAATGCCTCAATTAAGAAACACATCACCCTTATACAAAATTAAAAACAAATCAGGTGAACGAAAAAAGAGAAGCAATGGCCTCGTGAAAACTGCTGCTCGTGTGACATCTGCACGCCCAGCCGGCACGAATCGTTTTCCTTTACTCTCATGGTTTTTCTTAAATGGTATTTTTTATTTTATTTTTGCAGGGTGTCAAGCTTTTTTTGGTGGTAATATGTATTGTATTCGTATCATAAAGATCAAAGTACAAGTCACGTAAGGATCCACATGACAAAACTAAAAAGATAATATAACCTCTCCGAGCTTGACACCAACCTCGGTCGCCTGCCTCCGACGCCACCACATCAGCCACCGACTGAAAGAATGACGGATCACCTCCTCGCCCGAGATCGACGCGGCTCCATTGCTGATATGTAGCTTTGCGTACCTCCATGGTGGCTGACCAAAAGTGAAGCCCTTGCCGTTAAACGAATCAGACCAGGGCAACACCCCGGACACTTCATCGAACTCCAGATATGGTACCCCATCACGACTAAGACACCGAAGGACAAAACCATACCTGCCATCCACGAACCACGAACCCGGCACACATTCCATCTTCCAGATGTCATCAATGCAGATCACAATCTGCATCCACTCCTGGACTACCTCCCAAGCTCCGCTTCAATGCTGGAAGGGTGCCAAGCTTTGCCAGGAAGTCTTTATTGAGTTCACGAACTGTATTCCTGTAGTTAGAGCATCTCCAATAGATGATGCAAATTTGGATATGTAAAAATTTACATCTCCAAAAAGTGCTTTTTTGCATCTCCAAAAAAGTGCCAAC